CTCATATTTTATAGTGAATGCAACTTGATAACTTACGTTCGAGTCAATCCCTTGATAATTGCAATCGACTTTATTTCTTTCTAATGACAAGATACATATTCACAATAGTTCACAACATGCATATTGATGTAGGTTATACGTTTTTATCTCCTTCATTGTACTGGAAAGGAAAGAAAAAGTTACTTTGTTTTTCATCTTCACTTTTACAAGCGTGCCTCAGTCTTGGAAGATTTTAATATACAGGTGCCGCTTACAGTTTGAATTCAAACCCAACTCCATGCTTTATGATCTTGAGTCTTGTCCAAGTGAAACGGGAATATTTCAAAGCCCATGACTAGTACTCAGAGAGTCAGAATGGAGCAACAGAAAGCACGTGAATGCCACAAAGCACGAGCAAGCATTTTTCTGACCAATCCCATAATCTTCATGCGTGGCCTTTGTTCAGAATCTATAATTTTCTACAATTTCTGAGGAGCCAAAATCGAGGCCCTAAATCACTTCTCCTCCTATATATATAGAACAGTTCATCCTCACTCAATAATTCAAAGCTTTGAAGAAACTTGAAACAAGGGAGTTAGTTTATATTTATACAATAGTAATATAATTACTTGCTAGCAATTGAAATCATGGAGAAGAAAGCATTTGGCCTCTTGCTCCTGCTGCTTATTGTCTTCATTTCTCGTAAGTCCAATATACATTTCCTTAAAACATTTTCAGGGTTAAATTCCTTACTGTGTTTATTATTCAGTTTAAATATACATTATTGATGAAATGCAGACGGGAATATGCCGGTTGTGGAGGCGAGGATGTGCCAATCAAGGAGCCATGGATATAGGGGACCATGCTTCAGGCATCACAACTGTGCTCTGGTGTGCAGAAATGAAGGGTTTTCCGGTGGACGGTGCTTAGGGTTCCGCCGTAGATGCTTCTGCACCCGGCTTTGTTAAAAAGTCCGGTCATCAAAAAGCCCCTTCGAAACCAAATCCAGCATATCCATCAATCCATTAGTAGTAGTCGTAACATATGATCATCGGTCAATGTGGTCATTTGTCATGTGTTTTACTAGGGTTTGTTAAGATTAGTGAGTACGCAATAATTAATAATGAAGTTTTTAATGGTGTTTTTGTGGGACTTAATCACGCATGATATTGCATGGTTTGCTCACTTGTCATGTTTTGCGGTTCTGGGTCCTGGTTTTCTTCTCCCTTTGTACCTGCTGGATTTGGGTTCTTTTCTATTATTATTCCAAGACATTAAAACAGCACAAGTGTTTAGATTTCCTCCATTGATACAGTTTAATATATGCAGGCTTTTTTTTCTTATTTTTCCTAACCTTAGAAGAAAAAATTCGTACATTCAAATATGTTTTTGACCCAAAAAAGGGGACTAAAACCTTGGGTAAATTAAATTCAAACGTTACATGGATAGTGCTATATCTTAATCATACTTCAGTGCTATGAAAGACTCTATTTGGAAATTTTAACTTTACAATTATTTAATATCACTCTCTGTACAACAACTAAATTTACGAATCCTTGATATTTGTCATTTTCCATTTTTTGAACTTATAACCACACCAATAAGTTATACCGCATCCAATGTCTAGCGAGGTGGACAGACACTTTTAATAATTCCAGTAACACGAAGCTACTGAGTGTTCTGTTTCTTCTTTATATTATTATTATTATTATTATTATTATTATTATTATTATTTGTTTGTTTGTTTGTTTGGGTATGGGATGATAAGGACACGAAAAGTAAAATCACGAGGAAACAGTTTTTTTTTTTTTTTTTTTCATATATACATATACTTGGGAAACCAAAAGGCTTAAGTATGTTTGTTTCGTATTTTTTAGTGTGTGCTTTTAGGTGTTTTTTTTATTGAGAATATAAAAAAGTGTATTAAAAATGTAAAAAGGTATGATTGGATGAGACAGTTATTATTTAAATATTTTGAAAATACTATAAAATAATCTAACAAACAAAGCCCTAGATACAAAACATTCTACAACTATAAAATAATCTAACAAACAAAGCCCTAGATACAAAACATTCTACAGCAATTAGAATGAGTCCAAAAGGTCTCAAAATAAATCATCTAGTCTTCTATCTTGGGGCACTAACCCACGAAACTAATCTCAGTTAACCTAAGGTCCAAACTAGAGGAACAAACAATACCAAGTATAGAGTCCTAATTAGAGCAGAACAAAGCAACTACGCCATGATTTTCGGTTCACACGGTGACTATATACCAAAAAGAGCTCTGATTCATTGAATGATTTAGGAGGGTGAGTAGCTTATCCGATGGCCTACGGAAGCTGCTCCTCATCGTCGTTGGACAAGTGGTCCTTCTCGGCCACTGAACCATAATCCTCTGACGATTCCTCTTCAAGCATATCATTCGTTTCTCTCTCATCCTCATGTCTAACATGTGAACAACGATCTGCCTTTCCCATCTTAATTTTAGTTTTTGGATTTCAAGTGAAAGACCTTATTCGGATCCGGCGGTTTTCCTTCATTTGGAACCTTCATCTTAATTTTTGCACAAGATTTTGGGGTTGGGTTGGGGTGTGGAATATGAACAACTGTGTGTTTTCCCCTCTCCAATCCGGCATCACTGATCGGAGTTACGGCTTTGTGTTTCGAGCTGTCCAGAACAGTTTGGATGATTGGATTGTTCACTTGGTTCGTGGAGTTGGCTATAGTGGGCTGGGGGGAAGGCAGGACCATTTGAGCAGTAACATTGGTGGATTTCAGAGTGGTATGTTTTGGGCTTGGACTTTCTTTGGAAGACTTTTTAATCCATACTTTGTTCCGGTTGAGATTTTCAGGTTTTCTTTTAGTAGGGACTGTGATGGGAAGTTAGGCTTTGTGTTTTGGGCCTACAGTTTTCGGGTTCGTTTGTTTGGCTCCAACATTTGCTGACCGATCTTTATTGAACGTGTTCGAGGGGTTGAAAGTGCAGGCCGGCGGTTCTTTGTTCCAATTGAAGATCGGCAGTTGTTTGGTCCCGAAAGTGGACGTCGTTTCTTCTGGTTTAGAAAACATGGCCTGATTAGAGGTAGTGGGTTTTATAAATTTACCTGTTTTCGGGTAGCGCCTTCCTCTTTTCGGCGCATGGCACCATTCGCCCACTGTTATTGACCGTTGTTGTTTTGTTGGTATCTGAGTTGTCGTTTCCATGTCAGATCTATCCGTTGGAATCTGTACGGGTCATGACGGAGGGCAAGAACAGTTGTTGCTGCTTTCCGGAGGCTGATTTTCCAATATGGAATTAGCGTTCACCGGTGATTCCGCCGGAGCCATAGCGCAATCATCCTTGAGGTGACCATATTTTCCACATGTATAGCATATTTTCTGAAAATCTTCATATTCAATGGTGTATTCTTTCCCGTCGATCATTGTTTTTCCGGTTAATAGTTTGGTGAGGTCCAATTCAACTGACAGTCTTGCGTACCTGCCTTTTTCAATAGAAATTGTGTTTCTGTCTGCTTTAATATACCTGCCTAGTGGCTTTGCTGCACTTCTTAGCAAGTCTTCATGAAAATACTCTACTGGTAGTTCTGGAATACGGAGCCAAGCTGCCACTGCGTTATGTTTTCTTACTTGGGGTTGAATTGCTTATTCCAGGGTAGAACCATAATGTAATGTTCGTCAAGAGACCAAGGGGCATTGAGCAGTATGGAATGAAAGTCCTCCTCATTTGTCACTCGCATTAGTTGATAATCATCTATTATAACCACCGGTTTGACTTCTCCTTTTGACTTCCAAAGACCCTTCAATCTCTTGTAAAGCCGGTTGTGATTAAATTCTCCGCTTAGTGGTTTAACTGCAATGGTGTATGTCATGGCAATTTCCATTTGTTTGTGTACTCTTTTGGAGAATCTGGTTGAGGGGAGCCCATCTTCCACGCCGTAAGTCACATCTTCTTCTTCCACCGTGACTTTGCTCATGTGGAAACTATTCACGCCATGTTTTCCTTGAAGCAAACGATCTCTGAATCAGGGAATACCTTCAGCAACTGCGTTTATTTGAGCAATAGAGGCTGCATTTTGGCTATGATCCGTTGGGGGGTTGGAAATTATGGCCTCTGGATCTCTATTTTTGACCTTTCTTGTGGCTGGAATTCATTGATGTTGGATCCTCCATCTCCATGTCCATTTCGGACCGGAGAGAAGGGAATGATTAGTCGCTAGTTTAGAGAGTAGGGGAGAAACGAGTTGCAGTCCGGTAACTGGCTTCTTTTTTTTTTTTTTTTCAAAAAAAAGAGAAACTAACAAACACATAACACTTTCTTTCTTTATTTATTTATTTGCAGAGTTGTTCTGCGCAGCATGGAATTGTAAAACGTGGGATCCATATGTTGTCTCGCATTGTTTTATTCTTACAAACGAAATAATCGTCATTTGTAAAATGTGTTGGGGATTCTCCTTAAAGTACAAAAAAAAAATAGGGATAGGTTATTATTATTTTATTCATTGAGTTAGGATTTTAGCATAGAGCAATGATAAATTCAGTGACAAATTATAGTGAAATGGGATAGTGACACATGAAAAGGCAAATATACTATTATCACTAAATATGTATGTTTATTAATTAAGGTTAAAAATATAATTTTAGAAAAAATTAAAATTTCAACGGGAAAGTAGCAAAAAAATAATGGGCCAAGAATTATCCACATCACTCACTATTTTTTCACTATCTTTTTTCACTAAGCATATCATTTTCTTTTAGCATAAATATGTCATGTTTATACTAAAATCAATGGAGAACACGATGTACATATTAGGAAAAGATGAGAGAAAAAATAAAATTGAGAGAATTGAGAGAAAGTGCCATAATGTATATTGAGAGAGGTTCTACAATTATAAAATTTCTCGATTTTTTAAATATAATAATGATAGTGTATTTCTCTATGAACGTAAATCTAGTAACCATCGAATCACGTCAAATTGTGAGCATGTGATTGTTTGATTTTTGCTTCCATGTCTCAATTGTATATGGTAAGGGTTCCAATCCAAACGAAAAGAAATAGTGCTTGAATTACTAGCATTGCACTGTGATACATCGTAATGTTAAAAGTATAGATCTTTGTTACTCCCTCCGTCCCATAATTATTGTCCACTTTACTCAAAAAATTTTGTCCCAAAATTATTGTCCAATTTGACTTTTTATGGATTAAATTACGTATTTGCCTTGTTAAATACCTGTTTTTTTTTTCACAATCGCAGAACAGAGCATTATCCTGTGATCAGAAACAGCACAAATATTTGGAGTGGCTTGACCAACAACCCAGCAAATCGGTTCTTTTTGTTTCCTTTGGGTCCAACACTTCGTTATCTGATGAACAAATTGAGGAGATTGATGTCGGAGTGAGAAACAACAACCAAAGATTCATCTGGGTCTTAAGATGTGCTGACAGGGAGATGTTTTCGCCGCCAAGGAGGTGAGCCGCCGGCATGGGCCTTGATTGCAGCACCGTACAAAGAAGGAATATTGAATGATGGAAGGGGATTGATTGTGAGGGATTGGGCACCTCAATTAGAGATCTTGCGGCATCCATCGACAGGAGATTTTATGAGTCATTATGGATGGAATGAGAATCAGTTTTGGGGTGCCCATGGCAACAACGCCGATGCATTCCGACCAGCCAATTAAGGCTATTCTTTTGACGAAGATTCTCAAGGTTTGGTTTCATGGTGGGTGAATGTGGCCACGAAGGGGAATCAATTAAAGCGGATGTAGTAAAAAAGGTTGTTCGGACATTAACGGAGTCGCTCCGGTCAGATCTGAAGCGGAGGAATGGGCTACCGATGAGGATTGAGATGCAGATCAAAATGAAGGCGAGTGTAGAAGCTCAACAGCAAGCAAGTTGGAAACAAAATCGTGTGTTTGCCGATTAAACAATTAAGTAGGCAGGGGTATATCCGATAGTTTGAGCCCAAATATAATTAAATTTGACTAAAAATAAAATTTTCTAACTTAGCTAAACTGGACAAAAATTATGAGACGGAGGGAGTATATATATATATATTTTTTTGCAAACTTTACAATATATTCTCTGAAAGTTGAGTGGAGAATTGTAGTCTCAGCTTTTAGATCTAGTTCTTTAACATTTTTTTTTTTTCCCTTTTTGTTTACTGAACATTCCATTTCAAATTTACTTTCAAGTACTTTTATGTTAGTCCAGATGAGAAAGATCCCATGCACACCTAGAACAACTAAGCTCAAGAGGGCTGTGACGATAAGCCTTGATTATACTCTAGAACCAAAACAATAGAGAATAGACTATGGATCAGGGCTTTTTGTTGGAGAGAAGAGATTGATTGGACTTGCAAACGTACTTTTGTCTTTTGTCGGATGGAACTCATGTCTTCTCCAAATTTGTATCTTCTGTTTGAGAAAGGTGTTCTAAAATATATTCCCCTAATTAAAATGGTTGTAGTGGATTGGAAGGGACTCCTCCACCCTTAACCATAGGTCGATAGTTTGAATTTTGCCATAAACATCGAGCAATTTTAAATACTTTAGCCAGTTATCCCACTTATTGAAGTGCTTACAATTCAGCTAAAGAACGATAGACACCCTACAAATATAAATATAAATATATATATAAATATATATATATATAAATATATATATATATATATATATATATATTCCCCCTGGGCCTCTAATCTTCAAGTTACACATCCATGGCGCTCTCTGATATTAGTTATAACTTAAAAAATTATCCTAAATATACTTCAAATTTACACTTTATAATTAGGACTAGGAAGAATATCTGATTCGAAGTAGTATATAGTATCTATTACTCATCCAATACGATGAGTCCCTGAAAGCTCGATAGAGATCTAAAATTTTGAAACACAATAGAGGGCAGGCCAAAATATACTCCTCATTTTGTTATATATGGTATCCATTTTATTTTTTATTTTTCAATATGAAGCTATTTATGTTCGAAATTTTTACTCTAACTAAATGTCCGATTCGTTCCAAATATGTCAATATATTTTGGATATAAAATTATTCTAGTAAGTACTTTAGCTACTGATATTTGAGCTTAATATGGTTTTACATAACTTTTTATGAACACACATGCAGAATGACGTAGTCTCTTTGAGCAATTGTTGCTCCAATTTCAATTTTTATTTACTTGTTTATTGTTCGAAAGAGCTCCAATTTCATCATTAGAAGATTTGTAAGGCAATTGAATTCCTTCCATAACACAATAATAAATCAATTATACATACATCTGTATCAAATAAAACTTGCCCCATATTGTAATATTTAGTATATTTCCTATTATAGCGTTTGTTATTGTCTATATATAGTCTGTATATTGTGCACAACATATTATGAATCCAATACAATTTCCCTATTCTAAGTTGGTATCGAGCTAGGTTTAACAAAACCAATTTTTTTTCTCCTCTCTCTTTTCTCTCCCCCGCCGACTCCTTCTTTTTCGGCCGTGCACACCCCCTCCGCCGTAGTCGGCTTCTTTCTTCTGCTCTTCGACGTCGACCAAGCTCAGCATCGCCGATGTGTGCTCCTCCTCTCCTCTTCCAATTCGTGCTGCTGCTGCCGCTGGTCGTCTTCGTCGAGCTGCCGCTGTTTTCTGCCGCTTGTTTTTGTTTGGCCGATTGTTTTTTTCGGTCGTAAGCTTGTTTGTCTCCATCATCGCCGGCGCTTCCTCTCCGTTTTTGTTCTGCTGATCCTGCTGCTTGTCCGTTGCTGCTGTTGATCGTTTTGCTGCTGCCGGTTCGTCGATTCGGCGTGCCTTTTCTGCTGCTGTTGTCTGCCTGATCTCGGCGTCGTCGTAGTTCGCGCCCTTGCTGCTGCTGCTCTTCGCAGCCCCACCCAGGTTCTTCGGCGTGGTTCGTAGTTCGGCGTGTGCTTCGTCGTCGGCTTCGTCGGTGCTTCTTCCTCTGTCTTCCACCGCTGCTGCTGCCGGCGTCGTCGCCTTCTCCCATCCAACCCTCCCTGCCGCCGCCGCTGCTCGTTTGTTCTCGGTGATTGGTGCGGCTTTCTAATAAAACCAAAAAAAAAAAGGAAAAAAAAAAGAAAAAAAAAACCAAAAAAAAAAAATCATAAAGAATTCCGTTTTGCTTGCTTACTTTCAACGATGACTATCACCGACCTTTCATCCGCCGACCAGGTACTCATCTTCGGTCACCGGTATCTTCTTCACAGACATCAGTATCAATTCTTCAACCTAGTATGCAATCTCTCAATCATTCCTTTACTGTGAAGCTGCAATCGCGGGCCAACTATTCGTCTTGGCGTCTTCAGTTTACTCCTTTATTGACTATGTTTCGTGTTGCCGGTATTGTCGACGGCACCGAACCTGCACCGCCACGTTTTTTTCCTTCCGTTACTGGTGCCATGCCCCAACTCAATCCTGAGTTTGATATCTGGCAGCGAAAGGATTAGTTGATCCTCTCTTGGATTCTTTCTTCCATTGCTGAAGAGATTTTTCCCGTTTTCCAGGGCTGCACAACATCGGCGGCTGCATGGACAGCTCTTCAGCTTGGTTTCGGCACTCTTTCTTATGCTCAACAGACCCAGCTTGTTATGGAGCTCCACAGCTTGCAAAAAGGTGACTTGTCAGTCACGGCTCTCCTCTCCAAAGCGAAGGGCATCGCCGATACACTGCAGCTTGCCGGCCATCGCATATCTCCTGCGGAGTTTAATGCCATAATCTTTCGCAAGCTTGGTGCCGAATTCAATAGCATCATCGGAGCTCAGCAACAGCGATCCGAACCCCTCTCCTATCAAGATCTCCTTGGACAGTTAGTTTCATATGAGGTGCTTCTTCACGCGCAACAGCCGGTCCTGCAGCCCACAGCCATGCTTGTGCAGTCGCCACCTTCTCCTACACCGCCTCAATCCTCTCGTGCCGGTCGCTCGCAACACGGCGGCCGGCGCAATCAGGTTTCTGGTCGTGGTGGTGGTCGGCGTGGGTACACCCCTCCCGCTCCGGGTGAGACGTGTCAGCTTTGCGGCATCTTGAATCACACGACCGCCACTTGTCGACGCCGTTTTGATACTAATTTTGTTCCTCGACCCCCTGCCATTCGGTCGGCTGCTTATGCCCAGGCAGGTTCCCCTGCACCGCCTTCAGCTGGTTTGTTGCCTCTTCCGTCTGACCCGGAGGCGACTATGTCTCCTCAAGCCCATATGGCGCAGTATGCACCTTCTGTCAGTCCCTGGCATCCGGACACTGGTGCTACCGATCATGTCACACCAGATTTGTCCTCTCTCAGTATCTCCAATGATTATACTGGTACGGATCATATTTTAGTTGGTAATGGAGATGCTTTACCTATTCAGCATGTTGGTCAATCTGTTTTGCCATTGTTTTCTCGTCCTCTTTATTTAAATCGTGTCTTGCATGCTCCTTCTCTTACTAAACCTCTGTTATCTGTTCAAAAGTTTACCCGTGATAATCACTGTTTCTTTGAATTTTATTCTGACTCTTGTTGTGTTAAGGATCTTTCAACCAAGGAACTCCTCCTCCGCGGTCGGGCTGATAATGGTCTCTATCGCTTAGATCTTCCTGCTCGTGGTTCCTTGTCTCCAGCAGCTTATCTTGTCTCTTTAGGTCAGTGGCATGCTCGTTTAGGGCACCCTAATAATGTCACTCTTCGTACTTTGGTTAGGCAGTTTCAACTTTCTTACTCCTCTGTGTCCACGTCCACTGATAAATGTGAGGCGTGTTGTTTAGAGAAGTTACATAGGGTTAGTTTACCTTCTACATTTCATCATAGCTCTAAAGCTCTTGATTTAATTCACACTGATGTTTGGGGTCCTGCTCCTATTTTGTCATTCAATGGTTATCGCTACTTTGTGCTTTTTATTGATGACTTCTCTTTATTCACATGGATTTATCCAATTAAGTATAAAAGTGATGTTGTCCATGTTTTCAAGCAATTCAAAGCTCTCGTAGAAAACCAATTTGGCACTACCATTAAAAGTGTTAACTCTGATTGGGGTGGTGAATTTCGTTCTCTCAATTCTTTCTTTAAGGATGTTGGTATTGTTCATCGTTTAGCGTGCCCACACACTCATGAGTAGAATGGCACTGCTGAACGCAAAATTCGTCACATTGTCGACATTGGACTTGCTCTCCTTGGCCATTCCAGTACCCCTTTTCGGTTTTGGGAGTTTGCTTTTGAAACTGCTGTGTTTTTGAGTAATCGCCACCCTAGTAAACCTCTTCAAGGTCACCTACCCTTCACTACACTATATCACCAGCCACCTGATTATACCTTTCTTCGTGTCTTTGGTTGCGCTGTCTATTCTCTTCTTCGCCCTTAGAATAAACATAAATTCTCCTTTCGTTCTACTCAGTGTGTCTTTCTTGGGTATTCTCCATCTCATCTTGGTTATCGCTGTTTTGATGTGGTGAATAACCGTCTTTATGTTGCTCGTCACGTTGAGTTTGATGAGAAACTCTTTCCCTTTAAACTTCCTATTTCTAGTTCTCCTTCTTCGCTGCTGGAGTCTCCTGCTACCCCTTGGTTGCGTGTAACCAGTTCTCCTGGTATGCTTGCGTCGTCTTCTGCGTCTTCTTCGTCTCCTTCTAGTACACCAGTTATTTCGTCTCCTCCTATCCCTCCCGACTCATCACCTTTAGCTAGATCTCCTGCATCCAGCCCTTCATCATCTGATTGCAGTCCTCCGCCGCCACCTCCTCCTCCTTCTTCCCGTCAGCACTCAATGACACTTCGTCCACAACCCAAGCCCAAGAAAATCTTTGATCCCTCGGCTCATCTTACCTCTGTTTCCCCAGCCTTGTCTACTGCTCCTACATCCTTCACCCAAGCCAAATCTCTTCCTCAGTGGCAGAATGCCATGAAGGATGAAATTTCCGCCCTCCTCAAAAATAACACATGGACTTTAGTTCCCCCTCCTTCCTCCGCAATGTTGTCGGCAATCGATGGCTCTATAAGATTAAAACTCATGCTGATGGCTCTATTGAGCAGTATAAGGCTCGGTTGGTGGCTCGAGGTTTTACTCAGTCTTTTGGGGTTGATTACACTGACACGTTTAGTCCGGTTGTTAAGCCGGTCACCATTCGTTCCGTTTTGACTGTTGCCCTGGCTCGTGGATGGTCTATTTCTCAGCTTGATGTCAGTAATGCCTTTCTTAATGGTGTTCTCAGTGAGACCGTGTATATGGTTCAGCCACAAGGCTTTTGTTGATCCGGTGCGCCCTCATTATGTGTGTAAACTGCATAAGTCCTTGTATGGTCTTAAGCAAGCTCCTCGGGCCTGGTATTCTCGGCTGGCAGCATTTCTACTTACCTTGGGTTTTGTGGAGTCTCGTTGTGATCCATCTCTTTTTGTCTATCGCCGTGGGTCGCAGTTGTGTTTTTTGCTGGTCTATGTGGATGACATTATTCTTACAGGCAGCACTTCTGGTTTGGTCCAGCATTTTATCTCTTGTCTTGCTAAGGAGTTTTCTCTTCAGGATTTAGGTCCACTGAGTTACTTTCTTGGGGTTGAGGTTCATCGTACTTCCAAGGGTTTGCTTCTCTCTCAGCGCAAGTATGTCACTGATTTGCTACGACTTGCAAATATGCATACTTGCAAACCTGTTTCCACTCCTTTGCAGGCTAATGTTGTGTTGTCCCGTTTGGATGGTACTCTGTTGTCTCCTGATGATGCGACTACTTATCGTCGGTTGTGTGGCAGTCTGCAGTATACCACTCTCACTCGTCCAGATATCTCGTTTGCGGTTAATAAGCTTTGTCAGTTCATGCATCAGCCTCGCACTCCTCATTTCGGGCTCTCAAACGGGTTCTTCGCTATCTTCGTGGTACCATTGATTTCGTTTAGTTCGCATCCTACTGATTTGGGTACTCTTCTGCGTTTAGTGATCTTGACCGGGCTGGTTGTCCGGATGATCGTCGTTCTACTACTGGTTTTCTCATTTATTTGGGACCTAATCTCATTGCACAGGCATCTAGGAAGCAGCCCACTGTGGCTCGCTCGTCTACCGAGGCCGAGTTTCGTGCGGTTGCTAATGTCGTGTTGAAGCGCATTGGGTGTGTCATCTGTTGTCCGAGTTAGGCGTTTCTTTAAATCGCCCTCCCTCTATTTGGTGTGACAATAGTAGTGCAGTTTTCCTTGCTGTCAATCCTGTGTTCCATGCTCGTACAAGACATGTTGAGGTTGATTTTCACTTTGTTCGAGATCATGTTCGGCGTAAGTTTGTTTCGGTCAATTCTATCTCTGCTGCTGATCAGCTTGCTGATATTCTGACAAAACCCTTGTCCAAAGAGTTATTCTTTCGATTTCAGGACAAAGTTCGGCTTCTCTCTTCTCTGCCGTAAGTTTGCGGGGGCGTGTTGTAATATTTAGTATATTTCCTATTATAGGATTTGTTATTGTCTATATATAGTCTGTATATTGTGCAGAACATATTATGAATCCAATACAATTTCCCTATTCTAAGTCCCCAGACTCAATAGTTATCATAAACATAAATATTATGTCGCGAATTGTAGAAACTTAGGGATTGATTTTTTAGAATTGTAAGCTATTAAACTACGTAGTTTCGGTGACGGAAGGATTATGTCATTGATATATTTACCTTTTAGCCTCTGGATATTCTAGACTTCACCTTTTCAATTTGTCTTGTAGTACAAGTTACTGTTTCATTATGCTCAAAATTACTGTAATATGATCATCTGATGATTTTCTTGCTTATCTCTTTTACTTCCATCTTTCCATTACCTTCTGTAATCTCCTTAAAAAAAAAAAAAAATCCAAAATCATGGTTCTATCGGTTACATATTTATTGTCATTATGATTACATTAAATTCATTTTTCAGGTAATAAGTGAGCCAGTTTTGGCCAGATATTGATTCCAGTCAAAATTAGATTTTAGTGATTCATTAAATTGGTTTTTGAGGAATAGTTTTTTTTTGGCTGACTAATTTCCTCCTCTATATAATCAGCTTCTTCATTCACGTTTTTTCTCATCCCATTTCCTACAAACCCACAATCCCATCGGGATTTTGAAAAACAAAAAACAAAACGAAACGATGTCGCGGAGGCCAGACGATAAACCCGAGGAGCGACGGAACAGTTACAAGGCGGCAATGGACACGGCGGAAGCTCGCCGGAGGAGAGAAGACGGCCTGATCGAGATCCGAAAGAACAAAAGAGCAGAGAACTTGTCGAGGAAGCGGCGCGGCGACGTTCTTCATCCGTCGTGGAACATCGATCCCGGGCAAGTTCCGGCCAGACGACCACTCGTCGAGAGAGCTCAACTCGGGGAGGAGCTCAAAGCCATGCCGGAACTGGTGGACATGATCTTCAGCTCAAACGACGTCGCTTCACAGCTGGACGCAACGATTCAGATCCGGAAACTCCTATCAGTGGAACAGAATCCAATTTTCGATGAAATTGTCAATTCCGGAGTGGTTCCCTGGTTTGTTAAGTTTCTGGAAAGAGATGATTTCCCTGAGCTTCAGTTTGAGGCCTCTTGGGCTCTTACAAATATCTTATCAGGGACTTCTCAGCACACAAAACTCGTGATTGATCAGGGTGCCGTTCAGCTGCTTGTAAGATTGCTTAGCTCACCGAATGAGGATGTTCGTGAACAGGTGGTTTGGGCTTTAGGTAATGTGGCGGGGGATTCTTCGGAATGCCGTGATCTTGTTCTCCGGCACGGCGCCTTAACCGGGTTTTTGGCCCAATTAAATGGTGATCCGAATCCGTCCATGTTGTGTAATGCGATTTGGGCTATCTCGAACCTCTGTAAAGGTAATGATCCCAAGCCTGATTTTGAGCAGATTAGACCTGCCCTGCCCACATTGGCTCGTTCTATGGCTACAGATGATGAAGAGGTTTTGATCGATTCGTGTTGGGCGCTTTCGTATCTCTCTGATGGTGCTACTCAAGATCAAATCCAGGCTGTCATCGACGCCGGCGTTTGCCGTCGTCTTGTTGAACTCCTCCTTCATCATTCCACCTCTGTTCTGATCCCGGCGTTGCGAGCTGTCGGGAACATTGTTCTTGGCGATGATGTTCAGGCACAGGTTATGATTGACCATCATGTTCTTCCTTTTCTTCAGAATCTATTGACTGATGATAATGATGAGAGCAAGATCAAAAAAGAAGCCTGTTGGACTATCTCGAATATTACTGCTGGAAACAAGGAGCAGATTCAGGAGGTGATTGAAAATGGTATTATAACTCCTGTTGTTGAACTGTGTTTGAATGCTGAGTTTGAGGTGAAGAAGGAAGCTGCTTGGGCTATTTCCAATGCTATATGTGGTGGAACTCATGAACAGATTAAGATCTTGGTGAGCCAGGGTTGCATAAAGCCACTGTGCGATCTTTTGGTCTGTTCCGACCCGAAACTAATACTTGTGTGCTTGATAGCTCTGAAAAACATTTTGGAGGTTGGAGAAGTTGAAAAAAATCTTGGTGACACAGGAAGTGTAAATGTCTTTGCCAAGATGATTGTTGAAGGTAATGGTAGGGATAAGATTGAAAATCTCCAAAGCCGCGGTGACGACAACGAAATCTCTGAGATGGCTATGAAGATTGTTGGAACATATTGGTTGGAAGAAGATGATGATCAGAAGGAGATGCCTTCGGCTGGTGGCTCACAGTAAAACATCAATGATTCAGCTTTGGGGATCGTCATATATGTGTCTTTTTTTTTTTTTTTTGGGTGTAATTGGAATGTCATAGCAAGAATCTCCCCTTCACTCCCAAACCCTGAAAACAATTCTTTTGGATGTCATAACTAGTTTCTATAGTTTTCAAGTTTTTGGAGTGGGGAAGAGACCCTTTTCCTTCAAAATGTAATTTGTGTCATGCATCATGAAGAGTCAGATTTTCTATTTTATGTTTTGTGTAATTTTCTCTCTTCCAAATGCATCCTGAATCCCTTGATCGGGTCGTCATCTTGAGGAGAATATTCTTAGTCATCTTCAGTTTCATTTTTCCTACCAGGAAGCAATTTTGGAAAAGTTCCAGTCTTAATATTAAGATCAGGAATTTCAGAAATAACCTTGTTTTTCATCAACTCTACTGCCATGGATCTATAAATTCTTATGCAACCTTGTTTTGTTAATGAAGTACTGCATCATGTTTAAGTCTTAAATCTGACAATTTTGGCTCTGCAACTTCTTCAAGAATTTTACAAGTCTAGCCCAATTAGAACTTGTGTTGACCGAGGCCCCGAGAGATATCTTCCAAATTAAATACAAGTAGAAAATAGGATGTTAGTGATTTTAGTCAGTTTAACCTAATTCGCATATAATTTGTTTAAGGAATTGTACATTGGCCGACTTATTTAATCCCACCTTCTCCAATTTGGTTTTAGGAGTTGATTTGGCCTTTAGAGTGTTCTCCAAGTTTTAATTACATATACCCCTACATTCTTTAGTTTATATTTCTACTAATCTTCCACCCCACGTAATCGTAGCTAGGGTTGGTAAGGAACGGAACAAACAATGACGCTCATACCTAACGATAAGAAGGATAACAAAGAAACTTGCTGGAACGTGTACAAGGAATCCAATGAAGGCCGCTGGCAGAGAGAAGATGAGATGATGGAGATTCGCAAGAATAAAAGAGAAGAGAACTTGTCCAAGAAACATCAGGACGTCAGAAATCAGGCTGATGATGATGGCCGGAAATACCGGGATCAGCTCCGGGGATTGTTGCTCAGAGTCGGTTCAAAAGACATCAGCGTACAACTAGAAGCCACAACTCTGAATTCGGAAGCTCCTTTTAATATAACAACGCAATCCACCGATTCAGGAAGTTATCGGATCGAGAAGAGTTCTTGGCTGGCTTATGAAGTCTCTTTTAAATCATGATTATCCTCAGGTTCAGTTTGAGGCAGCTTGGGTTCTTACAAATTTTGCCGCGGGAATTCCTGATGAAAGAAAGGAAAAAAAGGGTGTGATTGAGTTTGTAAGATTCCTTAGTTATCCAAGGGATGATTATCGTGAACTTGCTGTTTGGGCTTTAGGATATTTTGCAGCGGATTCTCCAAACTCCCGTGATTTCGTCCTAGCCCACGGGGCCTTACCAGGGTTGTTGGCTCAATTCAATAAGAAATCTACGCTATCAATGTTGCGGAATGTAACTTGGGCATTGTCAAACTTGTGTAGGGGAAACCAACCACCGCCTGATTTTGAGCAGATAAAATCTGTCCGGCCAATTTTAGCTCAACTCATAAATTCCGACGATGAGTAAGTTGCGACAGATGCTTGTTGGGCGCTTTCGTATCTCTCTGACGGCCGTGATACTGACAAGATCCAAGCTGTTATCGACGCCGGAGTTTGCCCTCGTCTTGTTCAGCTTCTCCTTACTGACTCGGTTCTCTTTCCGGCATTGTGTACCGTTGGTAACATTGTTGCTGGCAAAGATAATCAGACTCAGGTTATCGTTGACCATCAGGGACTTTCTTGTTCCTGAAACGAGCATGAAGGAAGAAGCCTGTTGGGCTATCTCGAATATCGCTGCTGGAAACAAGGATCAGATTCAGGCGGTGATTGATGTGGGTGTGATCGGCCCCCTCGTTGAACTGTGTTGCTGAGTTCGGGGTAAAAAGGAGGCTGCTTGGGCTATTTCCAATGCTGCATCTGGCGGAACTCATGACCAAATTAGGTCATTGGTGAGCCAGGGTTGCATAAATCCGTTGTGTAATCTTTTGGTTTGTCCCGACCCGAAAGTAATCTTACTGTGCTTGGAAGCTCTGGAAAACATTTTAAAGTTCGGAGATGTAAATGTCTCTGCTGAGAAGATAGATGAAGCTGGAGGTTTGGATAAGATTGAAAAACTCGAAGATCACGATAACGCCGAAATCTCTGAAAAGGCTGGGAAGATTGTTCAAACATATTGGTTGGAAGAGCTTATGAGTGAAATTCTTTCTACTCCATTTTTATTTATTTTTTATGTAACGTACGGTGCTACATAATTACGTGGTTTTTTAATTCCTGACACGAGAATGCTAGTGAATCAGTCAACGAGCAATAAGTATGTCAACCTCTTTTGATTCCACTAAGTCGACGGGCAATTAACTACTATATATTCCACCTCTATTTATTTTGCTGGTGATACTGACAATAATTTTAGGATTAGAGCATCTGTGATAACTGATAAATCCATAATTTGAATGATTTTAATTATTGTTTATATTCGATTTTGGAGTATTTCATGTTATGGTGTTTTGTGTATAGTTTGATAATTAATGTGAAAATTTTGAATGAGAAATGAAAGAAAAGATTAAGAAAAATAAATGGCAAATTCAGTGAAGATTGATGATATTGACTCAAACAAGAACATGGTGAGTGGAATGAGATGGATATGATGAAGAGCACAGAGCTTGTTAGCTGATATATTGAGTGATGGGTAATGCATCTTTGACTCACATATGTAGAGATATATCTTCGTTTTGTGAAAAAAAAATATATATATATACATATATATCTTCGTTTTGTGAAGATTTTGGGATGTTGACAAATACTCAATTTTCTGCACTTTGCAATTTATTATTTTAATTTTGCAAATGGGTAAATAGTTTGAAAATTTTTATTTTGACTCCACTTTAAGTAACTTTTTATTCAATTGTATCCCTATTAATTTTTAATGACAACCAATGGGATCTTTGTCTTTTACAAATTACAATTAAATACTCTTGATTCACATTTCTATACGTAGATATAAACTCTAACCTTCGTTCTAAAAAAAATACCACTCTACTTTTGTTGAAATAAAATAATATAAGAAAGTGAATATCGATAGAACATATGGAGTATTAGTTTTAATTAGTGAACTATAGGCTATAGCCTATAGCATTGTTCCAATTAATTGATTGAATTATGGACATTATTTATATTTGAAAAGTATGTCACTCAATCAATCAATGTATTTAAATTTATTTTTTTTTTGAAAGTGTGTATGATATGATGCATGTAACATGTTAAGATCAAACATGATACGTAATACTTAAGTTATAAGACTAAATACATATAAATGATTATTTGAATGTATAGTAAATATGAAATTATATAAAGATGTATCAAATATAAGTTAACTACATACACCAGTTACGAGAGTAAAAGAAACATAATAAATATTTAATGTATTTTTAAATGTAGGAATTGTTTACATGTATTTTTACGAAATAAAATAAACATAAATATATGCATAAAATATGGATTTGTTTTTTCACCCAATAAACAAAAAGTTTGAAATAACTCAAATTGGGGAATGATTTTGGCCTACGTAGAACCTATAGATAAAAAAAAAAGTTTAATTAAAAATTAGTAAAGCTTCTTGCATCAAAAGTTGTACTTGTCCTAATGGTTAGGTATTATCCATGTATTGGGGAAGTCTTGGTTCGAGACTCTTTGTTATTCTTTCCCCTCATATTAATTTTTTTTAATAACATCTTATAGGATAGCATATTTATTTAAATCCCGGATATATGGTTAATCGGTTAAGCCATTTAACCGATTGATCACCTAACCGATACTACAAAGTATGGCCGGTCATTCGGTTAAACCGGAATATTCACTTACATAACCGAAAACCGAGCCGAATAACCGAAATAAAACTGGTTAACCGGAACCGGTTGGCCGAATAAACCTGAGGTGCGGTTAAACGGTTTCCGATTCGGTCGGTGCCGGTCCGGTTTACGGTTTTCCGGGTCTTGTCAACAGGCATAGATGTCGTTGTTGAGAATGATGAGAAAATGAAGATAAATTTGCCTGTTTCAAACTTACGCCATGGTGAAAAGGCTAGAGATATAAATTCTCAAGAGCCTGCTATTTTAAAATTTGTTATCTATTAAAAAAAAATACTTGGTTTATATTCTAACAAAAGAAATTGGAATAGTAGAAAGTATCAAATATACAACGTACATAGAGTATATGATATGATATGAAGGAAATCTATTGGACCTTGAAATACGACGATATCACCCCACAGTAAACACCCGAACTACCTTCAAAAACTAATTTATATTTATTTTAACCAAATAAGCAATCCAATATGATTTTACATGTAGAAGACTCCTTTTATATTTTGACTTTACGAATATGATTATTTTGGGGGGATTTATGCTAATATCAAGTAACTAATTTTGGCCTTTTTACTTTAGGTTTTAGTCCCAGAAACTTTCTACTTATGCTTGTTATTGGGCAATGCTAGTTATACCACTGTTTGCCGACAAAATTCTTTTCATTCCCAAAAAAAATATTCCATAGTGTATTATGTTAATCAATTTTAATTTAATAAAATGTCGTATTTTTTTCAATATGAATGGAATATTATTTTGAATTATTTTTAACATCTCAAGTCTTTGAAAAGAATGATGGTTTTGATTTGTATATCTCATTGATTCCATACAGAAATACTGTATTTTAACTCTTTTTTTTTTATGTATTTGGTCATTGAGAAATAAAAGAAGGGGAAAAAAATTGCGATGGATAAATTTTTTTCCAGATAACATTGATTTTTGTGGAGTAGGTTAAAAGTAACGAATGTGCATTGATTTCAAAAAAACTTTATAGTCAATTTCTCAATTAATGTTTGTGGCAGCAAAAAGATTGCGGGTTTCCAAAAGGACAATTTCTAAAATCCTACGCCAAATAATTCCCAAGTAAAACTCCTTAATATATAAGCAAACAGCCGTTTCGAAAGAGAAAAGGAAGATCTAGTTTGCCGTTCACAAGTGTTGTGGTTTTAGCTGTTTCTTGATGATGATGTGTAGAGATACTTTTTTAATTTTAATCCACTAACCTTTAGTCCAGATCTTAGGGTTCTTCAAGGCCTGTGACTGTGATGATAAAAATCTTTTCTGGAGTTCTTCCACGGGTCATGAAGGGGACAACCTTGATGTTGTATATTGATCCGGATTGAATTAGCCTGTTTGGGTTTATCTAATGCAGCTGGAATTTTGTAGCCATGAATCATGGAAGCATCAAAGTATTTCAATCGTCCGAGTTACATAGAATTTGACAAATATATTAATTATGATTGTCGACTACGGTAGACATGCATCCATAAATATAAAGTACGTTTGGTAGTGTTGTCTTCTAATCGTCCATTGTGTTTCGTAAAACAGATTTGATAGCACGTTTAAAGGTTTTCTTGGGAAATAGAAGTATAAATAACATTTTTTGGTTGAGGAAAAGGTCTAAAATTTTACATCTCTTTGATCTTCAGGGACTCAAGTTACTCAATCTTGGCAAAAACAAAGTGATTTAAGCACTTGTTGTAACAGTTTTGTGTTTTGTATCTCTCAAGGAGCCTCGAATTCAAAATCAATTGAAACGGTAGTTTTGGTCGTCGAACGTAAAAGATCATTAAAACAAAGTAAAAAAAAAGCCGGAATAATGAAAATATATTGAAACTGTTGATAGATTTGTTGAGTAAGAGGATGTTTAAAATGGAGAAGTGATATAAACAAAATTGTACCGTAATTTTGGTATGGCATTTGTACTGATGTTGTCCAAACAATCCTTAACATCATTAATATTATTATACTCATGACCAATATACAAAATATAATTCTTCCTCTTACATGGCAAAAAGATAGGTGACATCAGCAATCTTGGTGTGGTAAAATAATATCAGTACACCTTTACAACTTCACCAATTATTATATTATAATTTTGAATTCTTAGCAAATACAGTATTACCCTATTAGAACTTGTGTGCCGAGATATTTCTTCCAAATTACATAAATAGGAATAAGATATAAGATGTTAGTTGACGAGTCCAAATTAGTACGGGGCGAGCCCAAGTTCGGTAAATGATCCAACCGACCTCTGGAAGTTTCTGGGTCGGTTCCTAATTACTTTCCTACCAAGAAAGGGTTCCATAACCTAGCTCTATAAATAGGAATCAACCCCTCATGATTAAAGGTACGCTCTACGCACCACAATTCATACCCTATTACAATTACTCTTACTGACTTAAGTATCGGAGTGTCAACCCTCGGGAGACCTCGAGGCCCTCTTTGCAGGTATTAGGGTTTCAACGTCGCTATGGCCACCGTAGTAACCAACCGGAGACGTCGGTACAATTCCATCATTTGCCAAGTGGTATGCACAGTGGGACCGACTGGGATTTTTTTCCTTACACAAATTTTTTCTTGACGGAGCGACCTAGAACGTCTCCTTGCAATTGACGATGATGAGTACGGATCCACGATCAAAGTCTTCTTGATACGGCGTAGTTTAATC